GGCCTCTTTAGTTGTGCTACATAGCTGTCTAACCTTGAACTTTTATTCATTATCATCCAGGGAATTCCTTTCCAGTCTCTCTTATGTTCATCCCATTTTCCGGATCTCATATCTTCCTCATTCTTGGTTTACTGTTTCATTTGATGAAATGCATATTCCAGTAACTTCCTGAGAATGGAAGTTAAAATTTTGTATCATTTACTACTTCTCAGCATGAACCTGTGGGCAGGTCTACTTACTATTTACTGAAATATTTTCACTTCCACATATTTGTCATTTCTCTTGGCTACGATGCTCTTATATTTCCTGTCTGTGTGTCCAAAAGCTATTTGTATTTTCTGACTAATTTTTATGAAAATAATGCATGCACATAGTTAAAAAGTTGAACAGTTATAAGGCACATAAAAAAATAAAAGTCCCGTATTCCTTTCTTCCCCACTGTGGATTTGTGTTCCCAGATGCAAGTACAGTACTTTTCATTGTTTTAGCTGTGTCTTCTGCTATTTACCTCCTTATTTCTAAATAAAATAATTATACTGCATTGATATATCTTGACTTAATAACTTCTTATTATGAGAGATAAAGATTTAGTTTTCTTATGCCATATAATTTCTAACCTCTTCTCTGTCTATCCTCTCAATGTATTTTGGTAGGATGTAGAATTTTGAATTAGAAATAATTTCTATGGAATCACAGAGGCCAAACTCATCTCAGTGAACTCATTGTGGTTCCTAGTGATTGTCTCTTCCCTTCCACTGTGATTAAAAAAAATCCTATCCTTTTAATGGTCGGTTCTAAAACCTTGTCTGCCTTTGATATCATGATTACTAGACTACACCTACTTCCTCTTTTTGAAAAAAAAATAATATTAGATCATCCTCAGTCCCCTTGGACTTCTGCCATTCTTCATGATTACTAACCTCATCTGTCAGTACCCTGGGATGTAATTAATATGGGCTATTTGGAGCACAATAACAGGGAGCCCTGATCTCATCTGAGGAAGTGACATTTAAGCTGAGATCTGAAGGATGAATAGCAAAGGCGGGTGAAAGCATTCCAGCAGAGATGGTTGCCTGTACAAAAGCTGTCAGGAGAGAAGGAGCTCTGGGAACTCAGTAAAGAAAGATAGTCAGTGGGGTGGAGCCAGGAGAGTGAGAAGGAAAGTTGTCTACTTGAGGTTAGAGAGGAAGGCAGAGGTCAGAGAATTCAGTGCCTTGTCGGTGATGTTAAGGCAGGATTTTGAACTTATCCCAAGAGTAATGGGAAGCTACTGAAAATTCACAAGCAGGGGAGTGATTTGATCTGATTTGTCTTCCAAAGATTTCTGTGGTTGCCGTGTAGAGGAGGAATTGGAGAGCGCCAATAGTTAGGAAGATATGGGTAAAATTCGTCATAAATAAACACCAAGGCCAGCCTTGAAAGAGGGAAAGGAATTTCAAATGGGCAAAAGATAGTCTTATGGGGTATGCTTGGAAGCTCAGCAGACAGTTGAATTTCTTCAACTCGATGATGGGGTGAATTAGATGCTGATATAACAGTTTTATTTTTTCTTTCTTCCTTTTTTCTTCTTAAAGTATTAGATGGAAAAAGCAACTCCTTCTCTTCACCATTCCTCTCCTGCTGGATCCCAGAAGCAGTGTGCTCTCCTCCACGAGTGTGGCCTGCAGCCTGTGCCATAGTGGTTGTTCTGCCCATTCGCCATGGTGAGATTTCTGAGGGGTTGAGGTAGAAGGTAGGAAAAAGCAAGGGGTGGGGGCAAGAGGGAAGACAGGCTCCTGAGTAAATTGCACAGAAATGGGGTAACAGAATTGAAAGGGTTGAGGAAGAACTCTTTCCCTTCCCTCCCTAGGGCAGCAAGCATTATCTCTAGTCAAGTTGGTAACAGGGACACAAAGAAGACTGCTTCCTCTGAACTCCTGCCTGCTGGAGACTGGGGCTTCTTTCTGCAGAAGTCAGCTGATACACCAGAAGAGTTGGTGTTATGTGCCACAGGCTATGACAGTTTAGGCAGGAGGAAGTTAGTTTTTGTAGCTCTGTTTGTGGAGTTGGCCGAATGAAAATGCTGGCTGATGGTTTGCTTTTCATAGTCATTAACAACCGCTTTCTACAACACCTGGGTTTTCTTTGGAAACTGTGAGGAGGCACTGAATAAAAAAACAAAAATGTCCTCTGGTCTTAAAAAAAAAAAAAAAACTCGCAAAGGAGTGACTCTAAACGATGTGTGTGACAGTAGCTCTAATTTCAGGTTGAGTTTGGATATGGAAAATAATCACCTTGCATAAATTTCATGTTTTGTTGAGCATATTTTGATTTGTATGGAATTGAATTTTTATAGTCGAGCAAATTAGTTTGGACCCATGGGTGTAGATTTTGTGCTGAAATAAATTAGGAGGACAAAGAGATAGTGGAATTATAATAACAAATGAAAATATGACCAAGAATACTGCTATATCTTGGAGGATCTTATAATCCCTGCTTTTAAACTGCAGCAACATTACAATGGGTGAGTATGAGAGAATACTGCAAAAGAAATTCCAGGTCTAATATTTTTAAAGTTAATCTGTTTGAATCTGTAAGCAAAGTACAATTTTTCCATTTGTTTAACATAACTGAACATGGAAAGATATTACTTATTATTTACTAGCAAGCACTTGCATCCCCAAATGCCTAAATTCGTTTTCTATTACTTATTTTACGGATAAGAATGTGTTTTTTTTCTTTTTCCTTTTTTTTTTTTTGAGACAGGGTCTCACTCTGTCGCCTGGGCTAGAATGCAGTGGCATCATCATAGCCCACTGCAACCTCAAACTCCGGGGCTCACGGGATCCTCCTGCCTCAGCCACCTGCGTAGCTGGGACTACAGGTGCACACCACCACGCCCAGCTAATTTTTCTATTTTTTGTAGAGATGGGGTCTTGCTCTTGCTCAGGCTGGTCTCAAACTTTGGACCTCAAGTGATCCTCCCACCTCCGCCTCAGCCTCCCAGAGTGCTAGGATTACAGGCACAGGCGTGACCCACCATGCCTGGCCTAAGAATGTGTTTTACTGATAAGGATTCTAGACTTAAGCCTAAAACAATGACAGTAACCTCCGGCACCTCCCAATTCCAGTATCTAGAATGATGCCTGCCACATAGTAGTTGCTCCACAAATAATTAGTGAATGAAATTACCATAGTTGCTGCATTTAGCAAAAGTAAGGCCAGAAAATAATTTCTATTTGAAAATACACCTTTAAAGTAGTAGAGAGCAAAATTTTAGCTCCATTTTGTCAATAAAATAAAGTATCCTAATATCTAAGTAATATACTTTTTTTGAGACAGAGTCTTGCTCTGTTGCCCAGGCTAGAGTGCAGTGGTGTCATCTTAGCTCACTGCAACCTCAAACTTCTAGGATTACAGGCACAAGCCCACGGCCCCACTAATTTTTCTCCTTTTTGTAGACACAAGGGTCTCATTATTATACTCAGGCTGGTATAGAGCTCCTTGCCTCAAGGGATCCTCCTGCCTCGGCCTCCCAAAGTGCTAGGATTACAGGCACAAGCCACTGGGCCTGGACCTAAATAATACACATTTAACATAAATCTTAATCATTAGATATGGCCTCGAGTGTGAGCAAAGAGAAGGAACTGTAACAGAGGAAGAATTGGAAACGGTTGGTTTTACTTCTTGGTAGGTAGGGTAGTTTGGGAACAAACCTTAGGACTCCTCCATTTGCACTTTATTGGGGATAGCCTCTTCGTTGATCATAGAATCAAATTCAAACTTTCTAATATGTTTTTGAAGAGTCTTTGAGGCTTTCTTTAGCTTTAATTCGGGCCGCCCCCGCCTACACATCCTGGGCGTCTGCCGAGACAGTGTGTTCTTTTTCTTAGCTTGTCCAGCACTTTTTCACTGACCTCCCCCTCCACCCTGGACTTTGCCCTCGGGCTACCGTCAGCTTCTCTAAAGCCTTTCCACATTTCAAGGCCCAGTTTAATCTCCAGAGCTTTCTGGAAAGTTTCCTTTTCAGATGCAATGTTGGTCTCCTCTATTTCCTTCAGCACTTTGAACTTCTAATGGCCATTACATTCTAAAGTGGAGTTTTCGCTTGCTTGTATCCCCTAACTAGATTGTGACCACCCTGCTGGGGAGGTTTTTGAGGAAATCACTCTGTCCAGCCTCTAGCACAGTGCCTGGTACAAAGAAAATACCCAGTACAGGTTATGAAAATGAATCTAAATTCCAGAGGGGAAAAGGAGAAGCGCCTGCACCCAGCAGTAAGGGCCCTTCACGACCTTAGGGAAGGCCTGTGGTGTAGCTGAGCCCTGTCCCCAGCTCCAGACTGGCATGAGAATGTGGCGCGGTGGAAGTCTCCTATGAACGCCCCTGAACTCCCTTTACTTATTGAGAAGAATCTGCAAGTTCTTTTCCTACAGCCTCGGGCCCCGCCTTAGAGGGCGGTGCAAAAGGGGTGGGGTTGGGCGGGGATGTCCGGCCTCGTGGCAAATCTAGACTCAGCTCTCATTTTTTTAATTTTTAAAGTTTCGCAAATTCCTCTTCTAAGCTAGGGCCAAGGGTGTCTGTAGAGGGTTTCCCGGTGCGCGAATTTCGCGTTCTAGGGAAGGCTCCCAACATTCGGAGCTTTGCCTAATTTAGCCTTCTCACATTTCCCACCGCTAGGAATCTCCCGAGCACTCCTGGCCTTCACACCCAGCCAGTGCGGAACACCGCGGTTAGGCCCAGCGGTCTCAGCCTCTTCTTCTTCAACTCTCTGGGCGAACCCAGGGCTGGCGAGTGGGGGCTGGCGAGTCGGGGAGCTACCACCCCGCAATACGAGGCGGAGGAGATGGACAGTTGGACTACAACTCCCAGGCTGCTCCGGGAGCAGCGCGGGGGAGGGGTTGAGCGGGAGGGGTTGGGTTTAGGGTGGGGGGGGGTGGCAGGGAAATCCCGCCCCGCTGCGCAGCGGCGACACAAAGCCTGACTTTACAACCTCACAGAGAAAGTGGAAGAGGGCTTAGGTGGGGAGGCAGGACGAGAGAAAGAACAAGAGGAGGGAAAGCTGTGTAGGTGGGAGAGGAGCTAAGCTAAGCGAGGGTAGTGGGAAGACCCTCGCCTTTGAAGATGAGACGGGGTCGGCTTTCCTAACTAATCCTCCGCTCGCGCCCCGCCCCACCCCGCCCGCGCTGGGGTCTCCACAAGCCCTGCGGGTCCCCACTCTCTCTCAGAGTCCGGCTCCTCCCCGCCAGGAAGCGGGAAGTCCGGCCGTCTCGCGGGCTCGGGCGGGCCGGCGGGCTGCGCCGAGGCTCCCTGGCCCGAGTGTGGGACCAGAGCGCGGGGCGGCGCGGCTGCCGCGGACTGAGGAGGGGCTCCGAGCGAAGCGAAGCGGCGCGGCGCGGCGCGGCGGACGAGTTAGGGCCGGGGCGAGGGAGGCTGTGGCTCCCGACCGAGACAGGGTAGTAGTGTCGGGCTGAGGCGGGGTGGCTCGGGAGGGTGCCCCGTGTCCCGAGCGGGACGGCCGCGGAGGCCAGCGGGGAGGCGGGCGGTGGCGCTGCGCTGAGGAAGAGTGTAGACAGCGGGGTGCCGAGCCCGGCGCTGGCGGAGAGATTGGGGTGCCCCCCCCCGCAGGAGGAGCCTAGAGCTCCTCCGCCCTCCCTCCCCCGCGTGCCGGGCTCGCCTTCTCAGCGGGTTGCAGCGGGAGCTACTGGCCCGCGGTGCTGGGGCCAGATAAGAGGGACCGGTGGGGCCGTCGCCCCCGGGACGGGCGGGCCGGGGGCGGGCAGCGAGTGAGGCGGGGCGGGAGCCGCGGGCGCGAGGGCGCGGGCGGCTGGGGGCGGGGGAGCGCAGAGAGCCAACGAGGGCAGGCGGCGGGCGGGTGGCCGGGTAGCCCGCCTCACAGTCCGCTTTGCACTGCCGGCCCACTCCGCAGTGTGTTTTGTGGACGGCGCCTTCCCAGACTGCCCACTGGAGCCCAGCTCAGCGCCCGGCAGCCTTCGACGCGATGTTCCGCCGGAGCTTTAATCGTTTTGTAAGTACACTCGCTGCAGCTCCACGCGTGCCGGTTTGCTTGCTCGCTAGCCCCTTCGCCAGGTCCCTCACGACAATTTTCTGAGGGGGTCATTGCATCTCCGGGGGGCTCCACCATCGCTGCCCTTTTTCGTTTTAACTGAAACACATTGCCCCGGTGGCCAGGGTGGGGAGGCAGGTAGGGTTCTCGGGGTATCCCACCCTCGCCCCCAGGACAATTTAATCAGGGCTTCCCGGGGCTGTTACGAGCTGTGTCTCAGACTGGGGGCAGCCCTCGGGCTGGATGGTGGGGGACTCGTGAGGTGACCGACCCGGGGACCCCTCAGTTTGCCAATTAGGCGAAGATGGCGTTTTATTATCCAGGAGGTTGCTTTCTTTTGTTTCCTGCCACGAGCACATGGAGGTAAACCTAGACCTGTCACTGTGGCCCAAAAGAAGAGCTGAGGGTTGAGGGAGCCCGAGGCTAGGGCAGGACTCAGCCTTGCCTGGGGCTCGGCCCAGCAGGGCGGCTGCTGACCGGAGACCGGGCAAACTTTGGAGACCCAGTCTACGAAGCTCACATTTAGGGTGTTACAAAAGACAGGGCGATTGTCAGGGTGGGCTGGGTGGATGTAGAAACGTGAGGAGACTGCACCGCCGCTGGCCATGCTGCCGATCGCGGGTCTGAAGCCTCGCGGAGGACTGAACGCCCCAGACATAGATCCCATGGGAGAAGGCAGGCTGCTACTGGACTCCTCCGTCCACGTTTACCGCCTTCGAAATCCGCAGAAAAGGGAATTTCGTTTTCGTGGGAGTTTGGCATAGAGAAAAGTGATTTCTGGCTACTGACTTTTTTGAGTAACCTGTTTACTCCTAGAGGGTATGTTAAGAATGGAGCATAACAGGGCCATTTACTTCAATGCTGCTATTCGTAGCAACTTCCTTGATTGCTAGAGGTGGTGGCGGGACTAGGATTTTATTTCTGCCAATGATATGAAAGAAAGGGTTCATCTGCAAATTTTGATTTTTCTGTAGTTAAGAAACAGGGTTTAGTGCTAAGTGCATACCCCCTTCCCCTTTAAAATACATGTTTTGAGAACTTGTCGATTTGATTCTTTTCATGCAGTTATTCCTAATCAAAGCACTGCTAACCTATTTTTCTGCATTTGAAACTTTCACAAATGTACCCTGGCTAAAAGTAATAACTTGTACATTCCTTTTTTAGAATATTATTATCACAATATGCTATGTTAATGCTTTTCTAAATGTTTACCTCACCCAGAAACATGCAATATGAAATTGGAGCAGATTATTACCTGTAGCACAGTGCAATAGAGGTTGTATATATCAAGGATCTTGAAATCCGTAGGAAATGTACTGGATGCTTTAAAGCAGGTGACCAAAATTGGTTTGTCACCTTTAGCCTGATAATGTAAAAGAACATTGTACTTCATAGATCTATTTCACTTGGATTCTCGTGATCTTGGAGTGTTGCTTAGGAGTGACAAAAAGAGAAGGGTGACAAGGAGAGCTGACTGTATTTAGGAACACAGTAACCTTTTCACATGACACTCTTATGGTGGAAAACAACTGGGCTCTGAATTATAATAAATTCATTAGCTTAAAATTGAGATGTCGAAGTCCCCATTTAAGGATTTGAATAAGTCAAGTATTGGTCTAAAAGCCCCATTTGCTTCCCTTTCTAAGAGTGATCTGCATTATATTATAGTCTAATAATTAAGCTGGGCTGGCCCAGGAAGCCAGGGCATGCAGTAGAATTTGCAGCAGTTGTTGAGGTGCCAGCCTGCAGGTACTTTGCCTCCCTCACCAAGATCTCCGCAGAGAATCACTTTTGCTCATACTGAAAGGAGCTTTGACCTCATTGTTTCAGCTGGAATGCCCCACTGTTCACATTTTCCTGTGCAACCATGACTTTGGTAAGTCCCAGGAATTTACCAGTGCAGTAAGCTGGAAGGTTCTTAGGAGTTGTGTCCGAGCCCTAGGCCAAGGAGTTAATCTGCAAACCATTGGACTGAATGTGGAAAATACTATCAAATACTCATTGCTAAAAATGGCTTCAAAATTTTGGGGGGCCAAATTTTAGATCCCTTAGATCAGTAAATCATATGCTGTCCTCATCTTCTGCATGGCATAGATTCTTTGAGGGGCACTCCCATTTAAATCACTAGAAGGCTAAAATTAAAGTTTTAGGTGGGACTTTGAGATTTGCACAGCAATGTACATGTAGTCCAAGTTGTGTGCTGTGTTATTGTTTTAATATTTTAGAGATAGAGCAATGAATTCCTTTCAAAATCAGTTATGTTTTTTTGGCGTACCTATGTGTCTAAACTTGGCTTTGAATGTGAAATAAATTTATGGTGGTGTCGATTGTGGTTATTGGTCACTGAAAACTAGAGATTGCATGTTAGAGAAGTGCTTTCTTTATATCTTAAACCTGAAGTGGGAAATAAGAATCTCATAGGAGTAGCATCATCTTCTGTAGCTCAGTTGTGTTTGCTGAATCATTTTTAAAATGCCATTTATTTTCTGATGTTCTCCAATTTCAAGCTAAAAGAAATAGTGATTCATTGTATTTTTTAAAGACATGGCCTTGACGTCTTTGCCATTAATAATCGTGTTCCTGCCTTTTTGATGAATTATGACTTTCCTTTTGACAGTTTTGAGGTAGAAAGAAATTGGTGGATTTGGTGTATAGCATTTTAGGGTTTAGGCATGTAGAGGGTGTCTTAAAAGATTTAAGAGTTGGATGTCTCTGAGTGCAATAAAAGCACTGTCTGTTCTCAGTGAACATCTCCATAAATACAATAAATAAATAATAGTAGCTTTGTACAATTTATTTCCTTCAAAGACATGTTTAATCAGAAGTCTGGACTACTTGAGACTTAAGGGTCATGGATTTTATGTTATCCTCTCGTTTTAATAAAATTCTAGTGACTATAGTAGCATTTTCACATAGATTTAAAGGTTTATTGTGAGTCTAAACAACAATTTCCCCCTCTTTTTGGCTTATTAAATTATTTCATTCAAAATAAGAGATTTCCTTGATGAAGTAGACTGGGGGGCTTGGCCAGTCTACTGGGTGCTATCAATTTAGCTTGTCAGAGAGTAATATTTAACAGATATGAATTTCTAGATCATTGATACATGAAAGCTTAATTATGAGTGTGAAATACTGGAGTAAATTTGTATCTCTGATTCTAGAAGCTCTCAAACTGCTTTGGTTCCGTAAAGCATGCAGCATATAATCATAATATCACACAGAAAACACCCAGGACTAGAAATTAAATTGCATAAGGAAGAATGAAAATTCAAAATAAGACTAAAAATGCAAAATAAGAATTAATGAAATAGGTAGCTAATTTATTACTTTGAGTCCAAGGCAAGGCTCATCTAATGAAGCAATATATGGAGGCAATTAACAAAATAATTCAGATAATTGCTTTTTTTATTTCCAGGAGCAAGAAGGTTTCTGGTTTCTTCCTTAAATTATCAGGGTAATTAAACATTGTTTTTCTCTTTCGCTTTACTAATAACCTTGGTCTGACATTGCTGAGCATGGAAAATATTGATTTTATTGGATTATGTTTGGAAATATATCTGCATGTGTGTTGCAGTATTTTTGCATTTACACAAGTATTACAAATGGTCTGGGAATCTTGGCTCTTACTAGGTAGTTCATATAGGTCTAGGGTTAGCAGTTGAACTTGACCCTACCTAAAAGCAACCTTTTTATCATATAACATTATAATTGCCTTTTAACTTGTGTGGTTCCCTAGACCAATCTTTCTCAACCTGGGGAGAATTAGCAGTAATGCCCTAGGGTATGCATTGTATGTAATAAATTAACTTCTCTCCTATGCAACAGGAGATGAGGAACCCTAATTTTGAAAAGCTATCCTAAACAGGGACAGTTTACAGTGTGTCCTTAGCTCCCAGCACAGTGCCTGGTGCATAGGTATTTAATAATATTTGGTGAAAGAACAACTTTTTATATGTTTCACATGAATAATAACCTTTACTTATAGGCAATGATTTATAGCAAACCCCTCCTTATCCACAATGATTGAAAAATGAGGAGTTGTAGTTAATTGGGGTATACCATATATTGATTATCAGTTTTCTGAGAATTAAAATAAATGCATCTAATACCAAAACTATACTGACCATAACATAATCTTAGATGATTAAGGCAGTTTATAGTTTTGCAGAGCATTATTTCATTGAACAAATATTCATTGAATGCCTACTATGTGTTGGGCACTGTGATAGATTCTGAGGATATATGGGTAAGACAGATAAAGTTCCTGTCTTCATGAGCTTTAATTATCATTACATGCATGACTGTAGATATAGAGGGCATGGTAACTGTACAGCATCTAATATGTTTGTGACATATCAAGAATGTTCATCTTTATGAATAAGTTATATACTTCCTTGTCATTTGTCTTTCTACCAAAAATAGATTGTACAATATCAGTTATTTTCTGGTGTTTGGATGTCAGATAAAAAGGAGTTTGTTGCATTTGACTCCTTTGATATGACCTATACATGGCAAATTGTTCTTTTGTAAATAGATAATAGGCTGACCCTGTGCAAGGTGGGTAACCTATTTAGGAATGAACCACTATAACTTGAAGTAAATCTTTACACAGTGAAAACAGTTTTTGTCTTTTTTTTTCCCCTAATCTGCTTTTTACTGATTAAGCAGCATAAATCTCTGAATGCCTCCTAAATACCTTCTATAAGGGTTTTCTGTTTGTTCCTTTTGTTTATGATTATTACTAATAATTCAGCCCTGTAGTGGGTAATATTGAGTGCCCGTATATCAGGTAGTTTCCAGTGTTGCTAATAGCCTATTAGCAGAGGTGAGATTTGGTCAGGTGAAGCTGGCCATTTTCATATTGATGCAACTGTCCAAATGAGCTTGTTTTCTTGTCCTAGCTGACAGTTGACCACTTGCTGGGCAGTGGGTTCTTGGAGGTAAAGGATGGCCAGTGACCC